AATGTTGCTGGGGAGGGTTTCAAGAAAAATCTAGAGAAAAAACACGCTCTCATCCAAAAACAAACTCCAGCATATTCATATGCTAGACTTGACTGGAACTTCAAATGGCACCGGCTTCTTTGGTCAGATGAAACTAAAAATGAGCTTTTTAACAGCAAACACTCAAGATGGGTTTGGTGCACACATGAGTAAAAAAGTACCCCATGTGTACAATGAAATATACTGCTGTATCTTTAATGTTGTGGGCCTATTTTTCTGTCAAAGAGATCCTGGATATTTTGTTCAGACTGACAGCATCGTGGATTCTGTCAAATACCAACAGATAAAAAATTTAAAACTGACAGTCCATGCTAGAAATCTTAAAATGGACCATGGTTGGATCTTCCAACAGGACAATGATCCACAAACAAACATCAAAATCAAACCAAAAATGGGTCACTGAGAACAAAACCAAGCTTCTGCTATTGCCATCCCAGTCCCCTGAGCTGCACCTTATAGAAAATAAGTGTGGTGAACTGAAGAGGAGAAGCATCAGCATGCAGCTGGAAATCTGAAGGGTCTGGAGAGATTCTGGATGAAGGAATGGTCTCTGATCTCTTATCAGGTGTTCTCCAAGCTCTTCAGGCATTACAGGAGAAAACTCAGAGCTGTTATCTTGGGAAAAGTATTGAATAAAGGGTATGATTATGTGTATTAGAGAGAAAAAATATATTTATTTCATAATGAGATTTTCCCTCCATTTTAAATTCTTATTCTCCTATGAAAGGTTAGGTTTTTGTAAATTTTTTTAAATAAAAGATCAAGAGGATTAATGATACAGATTTATTTTCACAGCCTTCTTTGATCATATTTACCAAATAATTTTGAGCACAACGGTACAAACGTGATTTTTCTCTATGTGTGTTGTTGTTTGATTAACATTCATCGCACAGAAAGCAGCAGGAACATTAAACTGCGGTGAACCAATATAGCTACTGTTACACATCCATTTTCTTTCTCAATTGTTTACCTTCACCTAAACCATAAGCATAACTGTGTTTACAAGGATACTTGCAGAGACATGCATTTTGGCATAATTTTGCACGTATGTGTCATTTCAGGCACAAATAGATGCAGAAGTGAATGGAATTCAGTGTTCACGTATCTGTGTGGCTCTCCCGCATAGAGTGGATGAATAAATGTATGTATTTGTTTATGTATAAACTTTATTAGGTTAGTTTAGTAGGCTACTTCGAGCGTCTTGCACATTAAGCACCGCAAACATGTTTTTTTTTTGTGAAAATATATTAATGTGGCTATTTTGTTTAATGACTGCATTTCTTGTACTTTGAAAAAAAATTTTCTCTCTATCTCAGATTATAGAACAAATGAGTTCCGACTAGCTCTGGTACTGGGGTGCCGTGATGAGGTAGGCCTAATGGTGATGCTTCACGACCAATACGAAAAGTCTGTGCCAAAGATGAAAGAATATTTATTTAGCTGCTATTTCGAAAGCTTTAAATGTAATTTTCTAAATGACATCAGCAGTGTTTATTGGTTTACCAGTGTCTATAATTGGCTTATTCGCTGCTCTGCTGTGAGATCTGTTTATAGAGACAAAATGTGCAAAAAAAAAGATACGTTTAGGGGTACAACAGCAATGGGGCTATACTATTACAGGACATCTTTGTACCTTGTCTACCCCTAAAAAGTACTATATGAAACTTTTAGGGGTAAATAAAGTACTACCCCCTGACAAGCCCTTAAAGGTACACTGTAAAAAAATCTGTGACATTTACGGTAAAATACCGGCAGCTGTGGTTGCCAGAACTTCACCATAAAAAATATGGTAGCAACATTTTAGGTTTTACAGACTTAACTTAAATTCACAATAAAATACCGTATTTGATTAACTGATGTAATGTTAATAAACCAACATACTGAAGTGTTAATATCTGTTTTGAACCATTGCAATGCACTGATAACCACCAAAAACAGGTGGTGATGAGAAAGTCACATGATGAAACAAAGCTCTTCACAAACAGCTTTTCTACGAGCTGAGGAGGGCAATACTTATATATAGAAGGTGCACAGTGTCATTCACACAAACACTAAACCCCATCATGGTGACACACATGATACTGAAATAATGCAATACACATTAATTTAACAACATTAGATGTAAGATGTACACCCTAATGTACACAACTAATAAGAAAAAAACTAAGAAGAAACATAGTTATTTCAACAAAAAAACATCAAATATGAAGAGTCATGCAGGGAATTCTGGGAGTGTCAATTTAAGTTTTTTCACTGTAAATTATACAATGGCTTTTTCTTTTTCACTTCCAAAAACTGTATTTTTAACAGTATTTTACTGTAAAATTACATTAAATGTAATTACATTTATTCACCGTATATATGGAAACTTACTTACGGTTTTTACTGTAGCATTTTTACAGTCTTTTACTGTTAAAATCACAATCATTTTTTACAGTGTACAGTTTTTGCATATGTACTTTTTTCTGAGAGCGTAGCACACCCAATTGATCAAAAGTATGGTTATAGCCTATGAGAAGTGAATTCTGATTTTACACACGAAATAAGAATAAGGATTTAGGTGGTTAGCATAGCCTCATTAGTCCTTGCTATTCAATGTCTTGATTACACCAATCTGTAGGCAAAAATATCTCTCTCCATAAATGTTTCTCCACTTACTTCTCCAAAACAGATGAGAACTAAAGACAACCTTAACAACCAGAGAACATCTGTTAACAACCAGTGAACAGCTGCGTCATATCATAGATAGTGCAAGTTCAAGTCATTAGATGTTTTCCTTCAATTTACTTATTTTAAACATTCACAAGCATTGACACACATACTCACCAACAACATGTGCTTTATGTCTTCAATAAGAAAGTCTTCTTCAGGATGTGGGATCTAGGTGTGATAACAAGGTTCTTAGAAATGACCTTTGCTAAGTTCTACTGAAATATCACACTGTTACATAATGTGAAAGTCATGGACAACAAGATTAATCTTAATCCAAAGAATATACGGCATTTGAATGTTTCACAAAGGAATATGCTTTCGAATGTCAACATTTTGCTTTGATAGTTCATTTTTTGTGAGCGTCATATCAGCAGGAACCAAGAAGAAAACAAAAAGCCCAGATGCAATCTTCACACCTACAGTCATCACATGCACATGCTGCTTGTCCAGCAGAATCTACCGTTTCGACATCAAACCACATTGTTTTCCAGATCGGACGTCAAATAACAGGTTTCATTTTGACACCCGACTGAGTTCAAGCATTGCTTGCGTTCAATCACAGTCGCAGCAAAAGCACATTTGCACTTCCCTTTTGGAGTTTCCCACTTGTTCTTCACATGAGCTTCATAATCACATTAAGATGAGTTAAACCAAAGATTTTATTGTAAAATAAAATAAACTGAATGAACGTGGATGAGTGTAAGAGAAATCTCATTGTTATCATGCAAGTCAGCACTTTATAGGCTCATAAGCATCAACAATGTCTGAGCACAAGGCACATTGTTTAGCTGGATTGAGGTTGGTGTAAATGCACTTAAGCCACCTGCGAGCCACATTAAACAGTCTGGCGAACCGTAAATGTATTCATTTGTGGTGTCTGTGCTTTGACCAGTAAAAGTAGCTTCTTTGAATTCTCCATGACTTGTAAATGACTGTTTTCATCAATAAGAAACCTCTCATGTCAGTGATTTTGCATGCTCAGGTTAGCTGTCGTATCTGTGGAGGGAGGAGAGAAACGATGCAGCGGATTAGAACTTGTTTCTATTGTCTGCAAACCACAGGCTTTCAGTGTTTTAACCTCGAGCACCTTGAGTGGTATTATTTCCGAGCGCTGAACTGTTGAGGAAAATGTTCGACAGATTAGTTTTGTTCTGTTTGTGCTGTTGCTGTCTGGTCGGTAAGTTAAACATGTTATGCTTTATGGTAGCGGATGAATTATTTAGAAATCAGACAGATGTGCTCTGGCTTATATTGTTAGATGAAAAGTGCTTTAAATCCAATTGAAGAGCTAGTTTGAGATGTAGGATTTGTACGATTTTTGTAATTTTTGTTTTTGAAAGAAGTCTCTACTCACTAAGGCATTTGTTGCAAAAATACAGTAAAAACAGTAATGATGTGAATGTTATTGTGATGTTTTCTTATATATAGTTTCTTAACTGTTTTTTTATATATATTTAAATATATTGTAAAACGTAAGTTATTCCTGTGATGCGCAGCTGAATTTTCAGCATCATTACTCCAGTCTTCAGTGCCACATGATCCTTCAGAAATCATTTAATATGCTGATTTACCGCTCAAGATACATTTCTGATTATTATCAATGTTAAAAACAGTTATTTTTTTGTGAAAACCGTGATACTTTTTTCAGGATTGTTTGATGAATAGAAAGTAAAACATTATAAATTAATTTAATTCATCCTTGTGATAGATTCAAGTCTGATGTCTAACGAGTAAGACTTTATAAAAGAGCTATAAAATGATATTTGTGTGGAACTCTTTTCTGCTTATACATAAATTAATATTTAACCAAAACTTGCTCTCCAGGTGTGTTTGGTGATTCAGATGCAGTGAAGTCAGTGTCAGTGACAGAGGGAGATTCAGTCACTCTAGACTCTGGTGTTACCGATAAACAATCTGACAATCTGATCACGTGGAACTTTAAAACTAATGGGCCTCTTATTGCGAAAATCGATCAAGCGGCCAACGATATCTCGATAATAGATGATGGTCCAGATAAGAGATTCAGAGACAGACTGAAGGTGGATCATCAAACTGGATCTCTGACCATCACAAACATCACAACTCAACATGCTGGAGTCTATCAAGTAACCATCAGCAGCAAGATAAAGATTATATATAGATTTAATGTTACTGTCTATGGTGAGTAGAGGTTTGCAGTTTGCTTTGTTTATATAATACCATTTTTCATATATAATTGACACTTGCTGTTTATTCTCTCATGTTTTCAGCTCGTCTGCCCGTTCCTGTCATTATAGGTGACTCCCCACAAAATTCTTCATCATATTGTTTATTGGTGTGTTCAGTGGTGAATGTGGGTCATGTGACTCTCTCCTGGTACAAAGGAAACAGTTTATTGTCCAGCATCAGTGCGTCTGATCTCAACAACAGTCTGTCTTTACGTCTGGAGTGTCTGGATGATTCCTACAGCTGTGTGGTGAGCAATCCCATCAGCAACTGGACTAGATATGTCAACATCACTGATCTCTGTCGGCCATGTTCAGGTATGTTAGCATCTTGTGGAAAAAGGCTATGCATGCCAACAGTTTAGTGCATGATTTGCTGTTCATCTTTCACAAATGTAAAATGTTGTTCTTTTGTTTTCTCAGATTGTGCCTTCTGCTGTCATGCTTCTGAAGCTCTCGCCCGATTGGCTGTCTCTGTTGTGGTGGGCGTGGCTACTGTTGCTATTGTAGTTTATGACATCATCACATCCAGGAAAGGTGTAAATGAGAGACGCCGTGACTTGCTAATACAATATAAGATGACCGTTCGTGATAATTCAAATTGTAAATCCATATAATTCGCTTTTTTGTTCTTGTTTTTATATATATTCCTTTGGCTAGGGTGTATTTAATATTCATTTTGAAATGTGCTATATATGGAATGTTCAAAATTTGCGTAAAACTGTGTTTTTTATTTATTCATTGCAATTTGTGTTTATATGTGTGGCATTTAATAAAAACTTGGCATTTAAAAACAACAGGAGAAATTACTTAATATTCATATATTTTCATGTTTTTTTTTTTTTTATTGAATGGCAAATTATTTTAAAGACACAAAGAGGCTATATGTGGCTTAAAATGTGCAATAACAATCTTAACAGCTATAAGCATAAGCATTTTAGACATTTATTAGCATCAAAGTGTTGTTTTGAGTTGACATCAAACATCAAATTCCAGGAGTCAACTTGTATTAACTTATGTTAGGCTGAATTAACAAGCGTCTTTACCAACTAAATTGCTGAAACTGCATTCGGAATACAAATATTTGTATATTTTCCATATAATCAGTGACTTCAGACCTGTTCAGCACTAAGTTGGACTAAAATGTAACTGTAATGACAGATGAATATCGCTTTGAAATGTTTTATTTATAGTTTAGCGTTTTAGGTATGATATATATATATATATATATATATATATACAATTAAATTTTTTTTTTTTTTTTTTTTTGAGAAAATGCTACATTACGCCACATGAAGTGTACTGAACATTATTTAAAAAAAAAAAAGAAAACGTTGACCAAAGTATTCTCAATACCATGTCAAACAAAGACATTCGCTCAATTATTAATAGATCTCAGATTTCTTTACCTGCTTGTGTGAGTTTTTGGAATAACATATTTAGTGATATAGATTGGGAAGAGTTTTGGCTTCTTCGACAAAAATTCTTCTTATCTAATAAAGTTGTTGAAGTCTCTATCAAAATTATCTATAATTGTTATCCGGTAAATTACAAACTTGCTAAATTTAACAATAGTATTTCCCCCAGTTGCTCCTTTTGCCTTCAGTCTGAAGAAACAATCGATCATTTGTTTTGGGACTGTGCTTATTCTAAAGTGTTCTGGGTTGACTTTTCCAATTTTGTTAACAAATATTTATATCCAAACTTTTGTATAACCCCCAAAATTGGTTACTCTTTGAATTTAGACCCTTCTCACTGTACATTTATTATTAATCTATTGCTATATCTTGCTAAATTTTACATGCATAAGTGTAAAGTTTCAAAGAAAACTCCCTACTTTTTTATTTTCAGGAAAGATTTTGGTGCATGTAAACTCTTTAAGAAACTCTAATAATTCTATTGCATGTAAGACTCTTTCATGGTGTAAGTCTTATAAGCTAACATAGTATGCTTTGGAGTATTGTTTGTAACCCTTATTGTCTTTTGCTCTTACTTGTCTTTGTTGTTCTTCTATTGCATAATAAAAATTAAAAAAACGACTAGTTTGATTATATCCAAGTTGTGGATGCGACAACAGCGCCTCCTGCAAGCTGTTAACATTTACAACAGCAGTAAACTGAACAATATGCATACAGTATCAAAAGAGAAAACATTTCTAAACGAAGGAAACTTCTTCACTTAGATCTCATGTACTGTATATACACTTTTGCTGTATCACCCCCTCAAGCGTGTTCGCCCCCTCACTAAACACCAACAACAATCAATCATATCAAATATTGCCTCTATCACGTGGTTCCTAATAACTCAAGCCTCTACGCGACTGTTCATTAAAGTTGCTCATTACTCGCTGGATCCTCGGTGTCATCGCTAAACTCAGCATGAAGAACCTTGGTTTAATTGGTATGTTCCTATTATTGGTAAACGGTAAGTTGTAGTATTTATTTAATTGTTCTTATATTATTTGAAACGATTCAAAGCTTTCGGTTCGGTTCGATTTACGTGTTTTTAGGAAGTTTGGTGGCTTCCGGGTCTTTAAGCCCCTAATTTTAGCCTATTATTGTTATTATTATTTTTTTTTTAAATGTCTGTATATCTGACAAAATCTTAAATGTTCCAACACCTTTTGTTATGTTGAATATTATTAAATTGCTTTCCCCCACATGAATCTACATTCCATAAACCTATGTGATAATAACTTTGCCAATTTCTTAAAAAGAACATGAAATGTCACAAGTATTCAGACCCTATGCTATGACACTTGAAATTGAGGTACATGTCATTTCCAACATCTTTGAGATTTATCTAGACTTTATTTGGAGTAAATATGTGGTCTATGCCTATGGTTTAAGTCAGGGGTGTCAAACTCAGCCCTGCACAGATTCAACATTAATTAAACACGTCTGATCTGGCTAATCAAGTCATTTAAGCTTATTTGAAATCTACATGGTATGTGTGTTGGAACTAAACTTTACAGGGCTGTGGCCCTCCGAGAACTGAGTTTGACACCTGTGGTTTAGTTTATGGGTAGTGTTCATTTCTGCTTTAATATTGCATGTGGATTTTATTGTAAATGACTGCTTCTGTGTTTTGCAGTGGTGTCTGGCGTTGAGACCGATATTGTGGAGTCAGTGTCTGTGATTGTGGGAGATTCTGTCACTCTACAGACGGAAGTTACTCAAATACAGAGCCGGGGTTTGATTGAGTGGAGGTTTGAAGGATATCTCATTGCTAGAGTCAACAGTGACTCCAATAAGAGAGTACAGGCTAATGTTACTGAGGAATTCAGAGACAAGCTGCAGCTGGACAATCAGACTGGAGATCTCAAGATCAGAAACATCAGAACTGCAGACTCCGGACTTTACGAACTTGATATCAACAGTGCCAGAGGGTCATCAAAAAAGTCCTTCAATATCAGTGGTGAGCGCGTCAGATATTTAGGTGCAGTTTCAGACTCAAGGTGAACGTGTTTGCTGACTCTCAGAAACATTTCTGTTCATTAGGTGTGCTTGATTTGGCGTCGGATGGCGTGAAGGTCGTGTCGGTGATGGAGAGAGACTCTGTCGTTCTACCCTCAGGTCTATCTAAAATACGGAGAGAAGATCAGATAACCTGGAAGTTTAAAGGCACGCTCATAGCTGAAATAAATCAGACCGCCGGAATCTTCTCTACATATGATGTTCTTGATGGGAGATTCAGATACAGACTGCATCTGAACAATCAGACTGGATCGCTCATCATTACTAACGTCAAACCCAAAATCTCTGGACTTTATGAAATCAACATCAGCAAGAGCAGCAGCAGATACACCACGCACAAGACATTCAATGTGACATCTATTGGTGAGTCGCTGCAATAGTGAAATTCATTAAGGATCTTTGGATCAGTATCAAAATCGGTTAAAATGTCGTTTTAATCACATGTTCTCAGAAATCTTATGTTTGTGTTGTCATTGGTTTAAAATGTTGGTCATTGTATTTAGAAGATAATGCCTTGGGAGAAGGACTTTTTTGTAATGTGGCTTTTCATCATTGTTATCTCAGGATAGCTGAACCATCAGGAAATTATATATGATGTTTAATTAAATCTAATTTGGCGGCTTCGTAGTACTACTTAGCTTGTAGCGTGTCGCCATCACTGCTGTAAGGAGACACGATGACAAAAAAAAAATCTATTTTCATTCTCTCGCATAACATTTGCATTCTTTCCCAAAAGCACTAAAAGATATGTCCCATTAGGGGCTCCGCAAAAAAAACACATTCCATGTACAGTCACATTTACCGTTGCTCTGTGAAATTTTGATGGCGAAATCACTTCTTTCCAATATGGAATCCACGCAATAGGGAGTTTCGCGTCAGGGTAAATGTTCATAAAACAAATTTGACTCAGGTTTAAGTTCATGTTCAAGAAAGCCTCTTGGCTCAAAAGTGACTTCTGTGTGAAATGTGCTTCATGCGTTTGTATAGCCTACGATTGACGATAGGCTAATAGACAGTGGATTTTTTTTGCATATGAAATTTCACGGAAATGTCGATAGCTCACCCAAAAATGAAAATTCTGTCATTAATTACTCACCCTCATGTTGTTCCAAACGCATAAGACCTGCGTTCATCTTCGGAACACAAATTAGGATATTTTTTTATGAAATCTGAGAGCTTTCTGACCCTGCATAGACAGCAATGCAACTGTCACGTTGAAGACCCAGAAAGGTGGTGAGGACATTGTTAAAATAGTCCATTTGACATCAGTGGTTCAACTGTAATTTTACGAAGCTACGAGAATACTTTTTTTTGTGTGCAAAGAAAACAAAAATAACGACTTTATTCAACAATTTCATCTTTTCCATGTCCGTCTTCGCTGCAGTATCACAACGACTATTTTACACAAGGAATATTTTAACGATGTCCTTACTACCTTTCTGGGCCTTGAACGTGTCAGTTGCGTTGCTGTCTATGTAGGGTCAGAAAGCTCTCGGATTTCATAAAAAATATATGTATTTGTGTTCCGAAGATGAACGAAGGTCTTGCAGGTTTGGAATGACATGAAGGTGAGTAATTAAAGACAGATTTTTCATTTTTGGGTGAACTATCCCTTTAAAATTAAGAAGATTGCAAATCCTTTTTTCATGTGTTGCGGTGTCGAGTAGTGTCTGCTTAGGATTCGATTCCTGGGGAATGTATTAATTGCAATTGCTTAATTGCTGTCTGTGAAAGTTCTCCTGTGTTTTAATGTTGAGACAGATGGAGAGAACAGGCTGTCTGTGATGGAGGGAACTTCTGTCACGCTAGAATCTGGTGTTCCTGAAATACACACAGATGACGTGATCGTATGGAGGTCTGAGCATGGAGACTCTGTCATAGCAAAAATCGATAGAGGGACAAAGGTCTTCACTACATTGGATGGAGCTGATGGGAGATACAGCGGCACACTGGAGCTGGACAGTAAGACCGGATCTCTGACCATCAGGCACATCAGAACTAAACACACTGGACTTTATCACCTGGATATCACCGGCAACCGACGCACAATATTCAAGAGATTCTTTATTTCTGTCTGTTGTGAGTATTTGAAGAGTTTTAATGTAGGCTAATAATAGCCAGTGCTGTGAGAACAACTGAGTGAACTTAATATTGGTGTATTTTAAAACTGACAAACAAAATAGAAATGTGCAAACGCCACTCAGAAATGCTGATAAAATTGATAACTGGTTAATCTTTTTCTCATTACAGCACAGAATTGGTCTCGATATGTTATGGTCGGAATTGTTGTTGCTGTTTTGCTGTTGGTCGTGATCGGAGCTGTTCTTGTGATTCGTCGTCGTCAAACGCAAAATGGCAAGTATTACAAACAGCTGATATAATAAGCGGAGCATTTGCGATTTACTATGTAACAGAGACTTTGAAGATGAAAAAATGTGTTTTCATCATCAAAACATTTTGCATATGTGTTTAATTGGGCTCACTGCCATTAGGGGAAATCCAGTATCGGGTAAGATGCTGTTTGCACCATTATGTGCAACATAATAAAATTGTGTTTTTGCTGACTCTTGATTTTGGGGGTTTGTGACACTACTGTCCAAACTGGTGCTCAGATTGTCAGTTTGGCCATTTAAAATAAACCCTCTAAGAACGTCCTCAAATGCAGACTTTTGGGAGAAGTGATACCAGTCTTGTCATCCAAATCGTCTTATTTAATGTTAGTTTTGGACAATTTTTCAGACTGAGAATTTCGACATCTCAAGAAGACCTTTTACTTAGAGTTCCTGATCGTATCTGATATGTTCCTCTTGTTTCTCTTGTTTTTGTGTTTCAGTTAATGGCTCTGTAATATGAGAGCGACGTTTTGCATTTTTTTGCGTGCGGTGATCAGATGTCCGTCCAATTCCACTGAAGGTGGAAATTAAATCCAGCTAAAAATATGCACCAAGCCTCAACCAGCTTTTGAAGGATGAAAGTTTTTTTTTTTGTACTATGACCTTTTCAAAAGGAGTAATTTCATTGATTAAAATAATGTTGTTTTGATGTCCATAGTGATCAATATTCAAGCACTTATGCATGGTTTTATTAGTTTGTCTGACAAGAGAGTATTACTGTTCTGTACAATTTCCACACACATTTATATGTAGTATTAAATAGAACATGGTGCTAGAAACATAACTGAAAATGTAATGCAATCCTAGTCGTTTTGTGTTATATCTAAAATATATCTATATAATATATAAAATATATATCTATAAATATAATGTTTTCTGAGTTTATTATCTGAAATAACTGAATCTTTTGCTGAATGATTTAAAAGCTTGACCTTTAACATTTTAGGCTTCTTTGGACATCATGATCTAAAGATTCATAATAGAAACCTGTCTGTGTGACTTCTGTGTATCTCTTTCATATTACGTTTTATATTTGCTCCGTTCATTTGTTGCTCATTTCATCAGTCACTGTCAAATCTTATGTTGTTGTGTGGTGTCTTAGAAATAAGGGAAAGTCTCCATCTCAGGGTATGCCTTTGCTTTCATATAGTAATCTTTGTTGAATTTATGCTGGTCAAGGTCTGTATGTTTAAAGCTGGTTTTATTTTGATATTTCATTTTGAATAACAATTATATTAAATTAAATGATTTTTATATGTTTGTGTGATAAATGCCAATAAAAGCAGGTCTGATTCTCTCATAGTGACTGGAATGTGTGAGTTTGTCATGAAAGGATTGAATTTGTATTCAGACTCTGTACATTATGGGATTTCAAATCTCTACTTCATAAAACATTCACCTTTAACGTTTTAAGATTCTAAATATTACCATTAGCTACTAAATGTTTTCTAGCTGTTTGACTCGATCTTCAGCAATGTGAACTAATTTTCTAATCTTAAAATATATTTTAATATTTTCTTAATATTTCTAAAATATATTGGTTGGCGACGCTAATATTGAATAGGTAAATAGTAGTAGTATAATATGCTAAACCAGCATATGCTGGTTAGGTATGTTTTGAAGCTGGGATGCTGGTTTGAGCTGGTTTAAGCTGGTCCTTTGCTGGTTTAAGCTGGTCATGTGCTGGTCCTAAACTGGTCCGACCAGCTTAAGACCAGCACACGACCAGCATAAACCAGCAAAGGACCAGCTCAAACCAGCATCCCAGCTTCAAAACATACCTAACCAGCATATGCTGGGGGGGGGGGTTTCAACAGGGTATGTATATGCATTATGCTATCAGTCAGTCATAAGGGCAGACTGTGTGTGATGCTGTTAATAAATGAATAAATATATACACACACATTATATAGATTGTTACTACAGTAAAACTGGTATCAACCACTGCTTTACAAAGGAAAAATGTCTCTTTTAAGATCCTATATTAAAAAACAATAACTATTTAAAGTAACATTTGGGTGAAACTATGGTTACTATGGTAAAACGCTTTGTGGTTTATCAATACATAATTTTCTTACTGGTAAAGTACATATTTTCAAATATTTACTTTTTAATTACCGTAGGCCTATAATATCGTGCAATATAACTTTGTTTTGCCTAAGCAAATAACACATTACAAGCACAATTTACGTGGAAATATGACCAATCCCTCTAGTGGTCAAATGATAATAGTTTAATTTTTGAGGTTGTTTACATCTAGCGCATGAATGAAGGCAGTGAGGTAACTTAGTAGATAAACATAACACTTGCATGCTGCAGTATAGAACTGTCTGTAAGTTATCTCAGCTATGTACTAATAGACCATTTGAGATGGAAATTCAAGAGGTTATATTACAATAGAGGCGCTTTATGTGAAAACATGCATTTATGAAACAAAGTGGCAAGTTTGGATACATTTCACTGGTTGTCAAGTGTTCGATTATCAACAGATATGGACGTGCCAGACGTTTACTACAAGTTTTTATTTTCATGTAAAGTTTGTAAAAGTCCACTAGTTTGTAAAAAAAAAAAAACGCTGGCGCACAGACTCAAGACTCGATTCCACATTCAGCTGTTTTTTTTTTCCTGACAATGGATCGTTTTCTTCATAAAAAGCCGGTGCCGACCATCATCGCTCACAATGTTGTATCAAGTTCCCTTAAAGTAAGATTATTTGTCTACATGGCTCATCTTCAACATTTTGGGCTTGGATTGTGAAATCGTCTTGCTAAAACCGGCATAAAGTTGGTTCGACATTTCTCAGAGATTCAGCCTCGGACATTTTCAGTAGTTCTCATTTAGCATAATGGCAAGAAACATACTGTTTCAATTGTTTTCAAATGTAGAAGAGAACACACAATGTGTTTTATTTGTTTGCCTTAAAGGCAGTAGCGGCTCCTGAACGTAAATTTAGGTGATGCAGATTCTGGGTCGTAGCACTAATATATGAAAAACCTTTAGTAAACTTTATATTCTAATCTCTGAACACATGAGGACACAATATTGGCAGAGATATCATTGCGTTATCCAGTGGGTGGCGCGCTGATGCTGATTGACAGACTCGAAGTAATGTTACACGCATTAAATGCTGTATAATAATTGCCTTAGTGGAGCAATTCGGGTGAGGAAAGACGATCATATGTCTATTCTCAGAATAATAATAAAACAAACACAATAGATACAAAGGCTATTCATGTAAGCACATTTAAACTAAAATGATTTATACTTTGTTAATTTATCCACTACCAAAAAACACACCTGAACCAGCTCTTGAGGGTCTTCATGAACACTTGATAATGATGCAAACAGGTGTGTTGAAGCTGAAATTTGTAGAAAGGTGGATCTTCAGGAACAGGGCACCCTGGTTTAGAACAAGTGGTTAAGTGATGAAAGGTCAGTGGTGTGTCAACGATTTACAAATGTATATGTTTAGGCATTTGGCTGCACTCTATTAGAGCTTTTCCAAAGATGAAGTCTTATTTTTTAACACTAGATAGCGCCCTATGCAGCAGTATGCACACTTTCCTCTAAATCAGGAGTGTCAAACTAGATTTAGCTAGCTTGTTGCTAGATTTAGCAAATTTACACCCTAGCCATTTTTTTTTCCAAAAAGCACAAATTTTGCAATTTTAGACATTTATTTGGCTACTTTTAGCAAGTAAATCAAATCCAAAGATCAGTAGTGACTGCAAACCTAACTCAATAGATGAGCTGTTCATTCGTAAATCCTTAAGATCGCTGTAGAAACACAAACTGCAAGACTAAAGACAAGGAGTGCAGGGGCGGGGCCACACAAGGTCTAAATAGCCAGGCACAGAAGCTGCAGCAGCAGCAAAAATGGTTGGCTGCATGGGCACAGCAGCAGTAGCATGCATTTCACAATTTTCTTAAAGTAATTAAAACAACAACCACAGTTAAAACTGAATTTGAAATGAATTTTTGATCTGGAAGAGACGTAACTAGTAACATGTCTCTATCAAAACTGTACAGCCAGAAATACAGAAAAGAGTGGGAGTCTTAACCTGAACTTAAAGAGTGGCTGAAGCAAGTAGTTGGGGATGACTGCCGAGCATACTGTGCAATGTGCATGCTGCAAATCAGATATGCTTGCAAAAATTTATAACATCAAAAAACATCGTACTACAGCAAAGCATATAAATAAATCAAAACCATATAACCCCGCAAAGCAGTCGACATTACCGGTTAAGAAAGGATAACTGCTAAAGTGCAGAAGTTACTATGGCAATGGCCTTTGCGGAACACTGTTCACTGCTAGCATTCGGCCGTTTAGGTATGGCTTGCAAAGCTGCCTTTTCAGATTCTGTGGCAGCAACAAACTTCCACATGCACCGCACCAAGTGCACAGAAATGATTAAGGGAGTATTGGCTCCATATTTTCGGAAGATGATAACATTAGATGTGGGAGATGAGAAGTTCAGTCTGCTTTTGGATGAGTCGACTGATGTCAGTGTCTTAAAATACCTAGGTGTGGTGATTCTGTATTTTAGTGCTAAAAAAAGAACACGTGTCCACATATCTTGGGCTGGTTGAACTGAAGGCGGGCGAATCAAAATCAATAGCAAAGGCAATAGTTGAGTTTCTCGAAAAGTGTAACCTTTAAAAAAAGAGAATCTTCAGTAGGGATGGGCGATATGGGCTTAAAAATATATCTCGATCATTTCTTATATTTATTGCGATAACGATATCAATGACGATAATTTAGGGAATCCGGTTTCTTTAGAGAAAAGTATTATCTTTCCTATTTTTACCCCAAATGGGGTGTTGTGAGCATTACTGAGTACACACTTAATGTAATGACTGTTTAATTCACACTGGAAGCCGGAGGGCGCCCTTGCGCTGAAACTCCACATATGCAGAGTAGAAGTAACACTCCCAAAAGCTTTGTAAGCCTAAATTGATTGTTGCTCCATTGGTGGCACTGGGACTATGATTTACTTAGGCTTACG